CTTTTTTTTCTTTCTAGTAGCATTCTCTTCATGATCATTTTTCGATAAATGCATGATGTCTAACCACATTTTTTTTCTCTTTACACATTACATTCTGTTTTAAACGATGCACTGTTTGCAATTTAAATATTTATCATTGCTGACAAATAATCTCTACTTCCAGCAGTAACAATGGTGATGAATAAATAGGAGAAAAGATCAACACGATCGTCACTCATTATCTATTGTGTATAAAGAATTGTTCTATCTCAACTTCTTAGTCTCCTATCATGACAGAATAAGTTAGAGTTATTTTGAAATGTTTTTTCTTCTAGTGTAATTAGATACAACGATGACACACTTTGAAAGTCTCAGCAATATAAGAAATTTCCTATTTTATTTTCTTGTCTTTCAGAAATTATAAATTGAATAGAACCGTCTATGATCGTGTAGATGTGACTCAACTCTTTGACAACCTCTATCGGATATCAAATCTTCGTCTTTTTCCTTTAGATAAACTTTATTCTTTCTACTTTTTCCATTAAAGTTCTTGTCATTTTTTCTTTTTTTTTCACTTACTCATTTCTATTCTTGTTTTAGCTTAATATCTCATTTGTTTCCGATTTATGCGTTTTAGATTTATCCGTGTCAGAATATTAACAGACATTTTAGTTCGATCTTAACAAAAAATGATTGCTACTCCTTCAACTTTCGACTCGATTATCATATCAACAAAGACACCTGGTACATTTGATTCTGCCTATCCTGTTTGTTTGCATGGTATCATTAGTCAAGACGAATATCAACAATCCATCGCTAATATCAATCGCATAACAACCGTTTCATGGAAATTCTTTCTCATTCTTTTGCTTTATTTTCTTTTAACTATGCCCATTGTATGTATAGTGATGTACAACTGGCTACTACAATCATCTCCTAATATTCACAAAATCCTCTCTGTGGGATTGGCACTACTTTATTTAGTATCTTATCGAGTTATTGTAAACACTCATGCTGGAAGCAAATATGAAAGCCGACTGAAAAAAGCGATTACTGAAGAATCAACAAAATATTCGATGCGATCACCAATATCTTGTTCATGGCAATTGAAGGTTACTACAAATCACAAATCAACTATATATATTGTAAGTAATATTGTCTCTTGAAATTGATCAATCTCGTAGCCGAATTTTATCGAATCTTTTTAAAGTCCATCGAAAGTTGGTTTGATCTTCTAGGATTTTGTTATAGTTCGATAGAATTCTGTGCGAATCTTGTCATTCCGGTTATCAAAAACGCATTTGAATCGCTAGTATTGAAATCTGATGAGTTGTGACTGGAATTTAAAAAGTCCGTCTGTGTCATTGCTTGACCGGCAGTGTAATCCAACCGTTTTTTAATCCAAAAGATTGCAACTCAAGAATTCGACAAAGAGATTTTCCAATCGGATAATGTAGAACCGTCAGATGTCATACAGTACGATCAGACCTTTCTCAGATTATTCGATCTCGATCGTCAACCATGCGGTTGCTGATATCAAGAAAAGCGTCTCATTGAGCTATACAATAGATGGAAAACTGTTCAGGATACTCGTTATAACCGAAATGCTATTAAAAACATAGCCGTCGAAATGAGTTGAGAACCGTTTGAAAAATTGAGTACTAATAAAATGATGTATATTTTTATTCTTATGCTTCCACCAGCATTTAAAAAAAATACAAATAATAACAAGTTTATAGGTACATTCAATCTTATTTTGACTAGGCATGGATCGAACCTGTGATAGTTGGGCTCGGTACATGCCTAAATTTGACTATATATATATTATTCACTTTATCTGATTTCTGTCTTTGTCTTTTCAGATAATCATTCATATTCATCACAATGCTACAGATCAATTCAATGCAAATCCTTCTCAAACAATAGTTAACCTTCCACAACAAAATGATGTTCTTCCTCTAGTATATCCTAATGCGACTGACAGATAATACTCTCGATATAATATGGCAAGTCGATATTTGATGGATAATCTTTGTTCATCTTCTTGGATACATTCATAGGCATTAAACTTTTATAGTAGATATTAGATGATAATGATTGTAGCTAGCACAAGTTATTTATCCATTTCTTATGCAATCTATGTCTCCTAAATAAAACGATAACATAGACTTCACTAGAGTATAATATGATCACACAATATAATCGAGCAAAACATGTTTTGAAACAGGTTACTATCGATATGTATGTATCTAGACAAACAGTGATTGATGCTGAAACAATTACAGAATTGAATAACATTATAACACTGTATAAAATAGAGTACAAAGATTCGATACCAAAGAGCTTCATTTTGTCATTAAACAGAAACTTTATTGTCTATTTATTCTGCATTGATCTCCGTTATGAAAAATGAATAGTATTGAATTTAAATTCGATCAAATATTATGAGTTGACAAGAACAAAATAATTCATTTAAAGCAAAACCTATACGATCACTACACTTAAAACCCCAATGTAACAAAAAGAACTGTAGCTATCGGTTGAATTCTATAGCATATTATAAAAAAGTCTTTTCGATCTTTCAATGATGATTGGATTTATTATTTGAATATAATCTTATGAGTAAATGCAATAGATGCAAAACAGAACAACAAATCAAGCATATTGTTTTTTTTCTTCGATAATTTGTAACTTAAACTTGTAACAGTCAAAAAGTAAATATTTATATTCTCTAATGCTTACACATGTATGAAAAATAATAACTTAATAGACCTAAAAAGATTACCATGTAATCATCTGTATCTAATAAGAGTAAACATTAAAAAGAAAAAATTTTGTTGTCAGATGATACATTGTTCTCTTAAGGGGACCCCCCCCCTTTCCCGACTCAAAATTTTCACATTTTTCATTTTTCATTTTTTGTGATTAGTATATAGGTTTGAATGCCCTCTATCCATTGAGTACATTTTGAGAACTGAAAAACCACATCTTATATATAAAAAATTCGAAAAAAATCACAAAATATGCTGAAAAAACCGAAAAAACACAAATTTCTTTGCGTTTTTCTCAAAATCCGTTTTTTCAGCAAAAAAATGAAGTTTTCCCCCTTTTTCTCCGCCATTTCAAGTCCGATCGGGCTGAAAATTGTTTTGGTGAGACTTCAAGTGATTTGGGTTGGGTGTTTTTTTTTTTTTTTGGATACCTTCTACCAATCAAGTTTGGCAGGCTTCGCAAAATTTTTAGGATCCAAAAAACCTAGAAATTTTGCAAGGTGCTCAGTATTTTGGTTCTCCAGCTTGAAGTATTTGGAATTTTTGAAAAAAAAAAAAACACCCACCCCGATTGGGTCCGTCTACCCACAGCAAAAATTTCAGCTCAAACGGATGAAATTTGTGGATTTGCGGGGGGGAAAACTTTTTGCAAGTTTTTGACCTTGGGGTCTCTGGAAGTCCATGAAGATGACGTCTGGCAAATTTGTGTCTATGACAACTTTTGCTCTACTACTCGAGGTCTATCTACCCTGCAAGTTTCAGGAATTTTCGTTCGGCCGTTTCTTAAAAACGCCGGAAAGGGGGGGGGGTCCCCTTAAAACAATTTTCTACTATATTCAAGTCTAAGTTGAATATTCTCTATTGAATTTATTTAAAAAAAACTACATTGTTGAATAATAATAATTTTTTTCATAATATATATTTTTGAAGAAATCAATTAGATGTTAATGTTTTAACCATAACTATTTTTTCACTTTTAATTTTTTTATATAATTAGCTCCAAAATGATCTTTTTTTTTGAAATAATGCATTCTTCTGTAGTTGTGTATACGCGCAAGCATAAAAATAAAGTATTTTAATGTTATTTGTCTTTTCATTTGATAAAAGAAACATTCAACAGTAGACGTAAGAGCAAACTATGAAAAGAGAAAAAAAATCTTGCGAATGAAGACGAAAGCAACAGCAGACAGATAAGAGCATTTGAAGTAAAGAACACAAATGTAGTTGGAAAATCAAAAACATAAATTATTCTATGTATCAATATGAAGTTCAAAAACAAGTTATCGAATTCTTTCCACTACCATTTGTATGTAAGAAACACTAAAGAAATTTTTAAAAAGACGAAAATAATGAAATCGATTCAGACGAATATAACTTGAAATTTGATTGATTGTCGCACATTGCACAAATCTTTCTGAATTTTGACTATATCTTCTATTAATTGTTGATCTTGTTCTATATTTCTCATCACCTTTAATGTTATTTTCTTCAATTGACGACATTCATTTACTAATCTTGTCCATTCCTTCAAATGTAACAATTGTTTGAAATTACATTTATTGATAATCAAATGAACATATCGAATATTTGGCATATATGTTATCAGATCAATTATTGTAGTTAAAAAACATGATTTATGATGTTCTAAACAGTCGCTTATCGAAGATAAAGTAGCGTGACTCACGTCAAACAGAAAATTCTCAATGGCCAAGTTTGGCGTGTATGCTTTATTTGAATGATATATTAAAGAGTGCGTACAACTTATTTTCGCACAACGAATTTCGAATCTTCTAATTAAATTGCGGAATTGATTTAATTTGTGACTAAACATATTGAAATCAATTTCATTATTAGTCCAGAGTGAAAGACTAGTCAAATTGGGAAAGTATGCTTCGCATGCTTTGATTTGATCCATAGTTTGTGGATCGAGAAGAATAAGTGAAATGACATTAGTGAAATTAAGTAAAGATGGTAAAATCATTGAATACAATCGAATTGGATTAAGACGTAAAGAAACTATTTGTTCAGGATCGATTTTTCGAAGAATCATTTTGATAAATGTATCAGAAGAGTAAGAAATATGTACTTTTGTTTTATATTTACGTAATAAAGTAAGAATTTTGTCGGAAAATGTTTTAACTGCATCGTTTAATGTAAGATATTTGGCTATGTCGAGAATTATATCCAAACAAAGACCAGTCTTAGTAATGAAGTCAGATGACTAAAATGAAAATAATAATAAATTATGTTTTAATTTTTTTCTTTCAATTTCTAATAAATTCGATAGTTTATATAGCAATAAAAAGGCAAAGAAATAGTAATAACTTACTAAAAGTTCCTCGTTATCATCACATACTTCCTTAAAGATGATTAATTCTCGTAAGAATATTTCACGAGTTGAGTTTTCTTGAATTCGTATTAATATATCATCTTTGAACAATAATTTAAATTCATATTCAAATATTAATGACCAACCCTTTTCTCCTGCCGATCGTCGCATAACACCAATAAGTATTGGACATTGTTTAACAGATAGAATATCCAAAAGTTGAGTAGAAAATAGTTCTTTCCAGATCTGCATTAATCTATTTAAAAATATAAAAGGTTTCTTAATAAATAGATGTATATCTTATTTTATATTGTAACAAATATATGCGGATGAAAACTGAACATATTTGATGTGCATTTGTATTTATTATGAAAATGAGAAAAATAAAATGATGAATACCATTGAATCATCAATCGATTACCTATTTCTATTGGATTCAAAAGTAATATCCCACGGCCAGACAATATAATTTTCAAGTAAATATTCAATTATAATCTCTGAGCAGAATATATTCGAACAAAACATATTGCTAAATATGCTCTTATCATTGTGTATATAGACAAGTACTGGACGACGCTAAAAAGAATGTCTACTATGTATTGTATAATGATAAAAGTAGAGTTGTACAAACTTCTTTAATCACTAGTGAACTGAAAGCTTCTTGACATGCCTCTTGAAGAGATCCTATGAAAAATACTGGACAAGCATTGTAACGTCGTGTAAAACACGAATAAAATGATTCAATACCAACAACTTCATTTTGACATTCATCAGGAACTTTGATAAATATGATAATTACAAAAAAAAGTTTCTTTTCCTTTCAGATAAACAAAGAATAACTTACAAAGACTACGATCAAAAAACTTATGATCATAATCGAAAAACTCATCATCATCCTATACGAAAAAACGAACACAAACGGTTTTAAAAAGTCTTGGTATCGATTTGATCAATTGAAAAATTGCACTTACCATATAACTGCTGTTTTATGTAGTATCAATAAAAAAAATTATCGAAAAATAAAGACGCACACTTTATTAGTCAATATGGAAAAAAATCCAATTTCATTCTTCCTACAGCATGAAATATTTCATGCTTTTAGCTAAACATTTATTCTTGGTATGTACAGAGAGTGAGTCAGAAGTAAAACGATAAATCAAACGTATTGATTTTGTTTCATTCTTTTTCTCTATTTATCAACCAGTAACGGCACAAAGTGTTCAATGCAGGAAGGTAATATTTTCGTGAATAGAAGACAATAAAAAAAAATGATCGTCTTTATTTTTGCTAGTGGCATGTTTCGCTTACTCCATGTTCTTCCATTTGTATCGTGATCTCTTGACCAAGTGCTGACCTTTGCTCTCTTTCTACGTTCTCGAATGTGTGATCGCTCCCCTTCTACTATGTGAGACGTGTGTGTGTGATGAAAGGAAAGCATGTGTTGTGAGAGCGTCGATAATACAAAACAAAAGATCGGTATGACCACTTTTTTGGTCACGGTCACGGTCATAATTTGCCGTGACTGTGACCGTGATCCACTCATATTATTTAAGTCCTTATCTATTTGACAAGCAAAATGAAAATAAAATAACGAAGCATCTTGAATCAATGGAGAAAAACTCGAATCATGCTCCTCGCAAACTGAGAAGTGAAACTATAAATACTCTAACTCAATTCTTTATTCTTCATAGTAAATCACTTGAGACTGTTAAAAGATTTGATTTTAGCGATCTCTTCTAAAAGTGTCTTTTTTTTGTTGTTGATCATATTCTACTTGAATCAACCACGGTAAATACATCAGATTAATTCACAGCAAGATTTTAAAAGAAGAATATGAGTTAGAGCAACAGAAGAAGCACTGTTAAGAGTGTCTATTCATACATATACTCATGAATCAGAACGAATAAAATAAGTCGATGAAAGAGAATGATAGATCCTAGCTATTTTTGCTGGGAAATTTTTTTTAAAGTTTCTGCTGGAGACTTCAGTATACGTCTTCAAGAAAATTTATACATCTTGTTCAGTCTCTCACGCTCTTCTTAATAATGTAATTTTTATGAACCCTGCACAAGATCAAAAATTTCGAACTAGTCGATATGCCAAGTAGTATTTCGACCTTAGACATTAACGTGTGCCTTAGATGCTGACATTCATGCATCAATCAACAACTTTGAATTATAGCAACACACTTGTGCATGATGATGAGATCAATATATCGAAACTTCTGATTTCTAACCAGGCTCAGTCATATATGCAGCCAAAGCGCACGATCTATCAACATTTCGATTCTAAATACATGTGACAACAAGTCGAACTACTAGACATGAAGCCTATTATAAGATAGCGAGAATATATTTTCCAATTGATGACACGACAGATGAGCTTTGGATAGTTGAGCCTTCAACAGTTAATCAAGCAAAATTCATAACCAATATCAGATCGCTTAATTCAATGCGAAAAAATGCATGAAAATATACGACATCTTATGGTATTATTGATTTGCTGGCACTTACTTTTATGACTAAGACAATCATCTTTATCGAAAGACGAACATGTGTTCAAATTAATTATATTTCATTTCCACAAGATTGAATGATAATATCTAGTTCCATGTCGATTTCGATAAGCTACTGTAAAATGCGAGGTAAAAATTTCTAATGATCGATTGAATACCAGTGAGATACAGATAGAGAATCATTTCAAAGAGAATATCGGTGAACAAATCAAAGATTTTTTCAGAAAGTTTTTGGGCAAGAAGAATAATTCCATATTAGATGAAGCATGTGATGTGATGCTATTTTCTGCGGCTGAGGTGAGAGCGAGAGTACAAACTTATTTCGACATGGCTATCATATACTTTCTCAGGTACCGATTTCACTAGAAAATAAAACAAAGGTCATACCACGTGCACAGGAGAGAGCGTAAGGGAGCAGACACGATGGGAAACATCCTTGTATGTAATAGAGAACAAAAGATATGGCATGATCTTGCTGATCGATGTGATATGTACGCGTTTATTCTTCCATAGAGAAAGGATGGACAATTAAGACTCCTCAAACTCTCTCTCGTAGAGCAGGAAGAATAATGGACAACGAATACCAGTAGTTCTAATTTTATGACTTCATGATTGGTTAGGAGCTTAATTGGGCCTACAGGGGAATGTCATTTTAATAATGGACATCGAACATGAGAATAGTAATCAATGAATAGTTTGTGGTAAAGATCTCGAAACAATAAGCAATACTTGTTTATTGTTGATTGATCTTATTAAATCGACATACTGATCCGAATTAGTTTAGGCTTGAATATCTGAATTCAATTCGAATGGCATCATTTTTAGCAAGCCAGTTCACTGTGTGACATCAATAATAGGAAACAAAATATTTCAATACATAAAAGTTGATAATAACATGACAATATGAGCATGAGTCCAATTCATAGAACTATCAAGAAATTTTTGTTCTTCCTGTATACTTTCAACAATGCTTCTTCAATGTTAAAACGAAGAAAACAAATTCCGATGAGTACAGATCTCAACTATGAGCATTTTCAAGATGTATGGATCCTGTTATCGGACTCAATTCAATCTTCATATGTTTCGACCAGTTCTGAAAAAGAGATGATTGTATTTAACTATAGTAATAGGAACTTATGATATCCCTATATTTGCAATAATTGTTGCTGAAGATCGAAAGAAAAATAAATGACAAAGTAATCAAATTATTGAAACCACTCTTTTGAGAATGGGGCGAAAGATGGTTATCTCTGTCTTTTTTTTATCTGTTCTCCTTCAAAAATGATATGGTTTATCTCAACGTGCACTTCTTACAAGATCTTTCATTCGATTCTGCACTGTTAATTTACTGGTTTGGTGTTCTTGATAAGTTTTAAGTATCAAACTTTCAGTGATTCTCCAAATACTATAAATCGCAATATTCACATGGTAATTCTAGAAACCACGACAATTTTTATGTACTTTAAAGATCAAAATTTCAACTTGTAGCTTTAAACATGTGTATTATAGCCTATCTTGCATTTATAATTTTTATTGTGATTACAATTTGCAATGGAACACCATATCAACTGCCTAATAGTTGTGGTTATAATGTGAGATCTTACCATGTAATAAACTAAACATTCAACGGAATATTTTATATTAACAGTCATGCAACTTGGGTAAAGCAGATAGACTTAATGTCCACCTAGTAGCTCATACACATGATGATGTTGGTTGGCTCAAAACAGTAGATCAATATTTCTATGGAGGTCAGGAAATTTGTTTCCTATTTTACATTGCATAGTGTGCGAGATCAATGACGAACGCTATAGCTTCTTATTATTTATAATCTAATTATGATTTTAAGGATATATATAAGATGTTACTATTCTAGTATTTCATTTGACTTATCTTGTTTAGCTCGAAAGGACATTCGACCTGAAGGTGTTCAATACATTATTGATTCAGCTATTGAATCACTTCTTGAAAATCCAGATCGACGATTTATATATGTTGAAATT